AGTTAAACAGTCACAGTGTGACGAGTGTAACTCAGAGCTGAGTTAGGTAAATACTGTGTGATTGGCTGTAATGGAGCTCACACACAAGGGTCTCTTGAGTATAGACTAGGTTTTAAGAGCCTACAGTAGCACGTTAGGGTTGTGTGAGACTCAGTCTTCTTACTTGATTAATAATGTCAGTTAATATTTAATCTCTAGTTTCATCTCTAATCTATGATCAACATGATTATTATAATCCAGCCAATCGAGGGCTGGGATACATTCTGTGTCCTCTTAGTGACTTCACCAGGCTTGGATAAATCTGTGAGTGTTGCGTTTGGCACATGAACTTAGTGCCAAAACAATCATACGGATCACAAAGATGACTGACAGCCCAGGTTGACAACGGCTGTTGACCAACATGGTGTTTGTGGACATTGGACTACTGTTGGTCCAAGACCATTATAATCTTTTTTTTAATCAATTTTATTTAATATTTTTCATGTTATTACTTGCGGACAAAACATAATAAAACACCATTAAATATTTATACAGTAGTCTGGCAATAGGCCGTGGGTCCCACACCCAAACAAAATGTTCTATTAAAAAAATTCTGAAAATTGCTATTGAGACAGTACAGTTTACTGGTGTTATTACATTATAGTACTAAGAATTTTAAGCAATTTGACTTTTACAGATGTACTACCAAACCCAGTAGTCTAGTCATTTATTTGCAATTTAAGGAAAAAAGAAAATTGTCATTGTATTTGTTACGGCGAAGCCTCCAACCTTAATGCTTCTACCACTACCACTACTGTGACCCATTTAGAAACACACGTAACTGTAAATGGATTTCAGGCTCCACAATAGCCCGCGCAGCTCATATATGTGGCCTTTATTAGGAGTAATCAAAAAGCTCTTTAACTTCCCGATTAGAGAACAGCCCTTGGACAGAGCTTGTTCTCCTGTAATCTGCCGAGCCGGACAGAAATGTGAATGAGATCGTGGTGAGGCCCAGGAAACGTAATCATTTTCTTATCAACGGTTTCTGTCACAGCCTGTAAAAGGAATGACCCAAAAACACAGAGGAGAAACCAAGGACATAGGGCACCTCCTGTTGGCCCGGCACCTCCTTTGAGCGCAGTGACACACATGCTTATTGACAACAGTGCTTTATTTTACCTGCAATCCCCTCCTGATATCCCAGTCGCTGAAGGTTAATGGAGGATGAAGCATTTTGTCATAAAGCTCACAGCAATGGATTTCCTCTCAGACCCTGCATCTGACCAATAGGTGGGGAGGGGGAAAAAAATCGTCATGTCACTTTGGGGGTCAGCAGCGAACAACTTGTCATCATGGTCTGTTTCAGAACAATAAACCTGGGATGCTTTAGAGTACAAGCGTAGCTCAAGACATAAACCGTAAATTGTCGTTTTGTTGCTGACAGAGAATTTTCACCTTGAGGTAAGTTGTACATAATCAAACTGTGTCATCAATAAACGAATGAGAATAGAAGGGGGGGATAACAGAGGCTGTTTTGTTTAATGCATATGAACAATGGCCTTCCTTTGGTGTGATTAAGTGCAGTGATGAAGGAAACATTGGTGGAAAGCAAAAATCCATTCATGCACGGAGGCAGAAAACCTTTCCCTTCCCTGAAGGTCCTAAAAGTCTCCTGAGCTTTGAAGGGAATACATTTACAACAATTCTGCCATATTGTCCATAATAGCCTCAATGCATTTTCCACTGAAAAATAATGGCTAAAGCAATGGGAGCAATATTGATAAGCCCCCTTAATTGATTATTATTTTGCTTGTGAACAATGCCAGTCCTGTAATGGCTGCACAATTGAGCGATATCGCATAATTATGCAGAGATATTTTTTTTATTTGTTATCAGCCTGAAATGTTCTTCTCTGATGAATAAGAGTCAGCTGGATGAGGATTCACTCACAACACGGTTCAGTTAATTAATGTTGAGCATTATAGTTTGATCTTTTTCCTTACTTCAATGTAGAGTTAATCAGAAATAATGTAATTACGTAATTAGGTTATTTATAAAAGTAATTAGTTTAGTGCTGCAGATGCACTCAGCAGTGCCCACTATGACACTCTTTTGTGAACAATCCATTAAGCAACACTGCCCCCTACTGGCTTTATCCACAAGTGACACGTACAAAACACACGCCAAGACAAGAAGACATAATTTGAATGTTCACTCTACAACATTTAATAATAGTGACAGTCCAAAAAAAAGTAAAATAATAAGAAGTCACTAAGATGTGACAGAACAGGAAAAATATATTTAAAAGATCGTGATGTCAGACGCTGAAAAAGTGTTTGCTGCTCGCTTTAAAAGCCACAGGTGTTCGACGTTGCTCTTAAATGGCATCTCGACGTGGTCTGATGAATAGCAAAGAAAGTAAGGTAAGAATATTTTGACTTTTTATTCCCTACTGTTGTCGTTTTTACTAAATTTATCTAACTAGCTCAGATATCACCTGAAGTGGAAGAAAACTTTTAATTATTTATTTTAGCTTTGCCGAAACTAATTAATAACCTATTGACACATTCTCCAAACACCATTGAAATTGTTTGGAGAATGTGATAACTCACTGAGTCATATTTTACCAGTTTAGTGTTTAAAGTATAGCTTTACGGTGTTCTACATCAAACTTGTAATCCACATTGTTTAATGTGGATTACAAGTTTGATGTAGAAGACCTGTTTAACAACGCTAATCATTTTACAAATGTGCTAACTAGCTAACGTGCTAACAAGCTAATTTTAAGTACGTAACATGACTTGTCTGTGACTGGTTTATTTTCCAGATGAAGGATGGTCATCCTAGATGAAGACTTCAACACAGTAAGGAACGTATTTTTCTTTTATTCTCTGCGGCTGTCGTGCTTGGTTGTTTCACTGTTTTTACACCTACTGTTAATAAAGTATTTTAAAAATAAAAATTGCTGTTGTAGCTCTTCCTGTTGGCTACCATGCCTACATGTCTCCGGTGTTTTCTTCTTTTTTTCTTTTTATTTATTTATTTTTATTTATGTTAAGTTCTCTGGCAGTTTATATAATTGAAGCGTTTAAAAAAAAAAAAAAAAACCAAACCTACCATTTTACCACCACTTCGGACCTTGCGAGAATTTACCTTTTTGGACGTTTCGACAATTGCTACAACAATTGCTTCGACAATTTCTACAATTCCGGATGTTGCAAACAACTACTATTTTGGACATAACCTGCATCTTCTACTGTTCTGGACTTTGTTAACATTTTCTACAATTCTTAACGTCGTGAGCATCTTCTACAATTCTGGACATTACCAGCATCTTCAACTATTTTGGACATTATCAGCATCTTCTACAATTCTGGACATTATCAGCATCTTCTACAATTCTGGACTTCATGAGCACCTTTTACAATTTTGGACGTTATGAGCATCTTCTACTATTCCAAGTGTCACGAGCATCTCCCACCATTTTGAATGTTACCTGCATCTTCTACTATTTTGGATGTGTCAGTTGTCATTGTCCAGCTGCTCTTCAGTTGATGCCCTGAATTACAGCCACATCTACAGTATTGACATGGATGTCAAGGACTCAAGATCTTATATTCTTTACCTTTTGTAAACTGTGTACATTTGTAAATTCATGTGTTTATGTAACTGTTAATGTTTATTTGCTTGACTTTTGTAAATGTATATTGATGTGTGTATTCTTTACCTTTTGTAAACTGTACATTTGTAAATTCATGTGTATTTATGTAACTGTTAATGTGTATTTGCTTGACTTCTGTAAATGTTTATTTGCTTGACTCTAAATGTATATTGGTTTGTATTTGCTGACTTGTCAATATATATTCATGTGAATTTTGTTTTGCTTGAGTAATTGAGCTATCTCCTTTAAGACAGAATGTCCTGTATGATGAAACATGGACCAGGTCAATCTGATTTAAAATTTGATTTAAAATTGCAAAATAAACTACATTAAATTATGAAACCTGATTGTACCGTCTTTATTTTCCCCCCTTGCTTTCACATCAACTGTAGTGGGTTTAGATAACAAAACCTTAGACCAAACTATTTATTCAGTCATGACTCTTATTTCTATGATGTAGAAATACATTTTACATATTGATTACTTGACTGCAATGGTGTGACCAAGTGAACTGTGCTTTTTCCACCATTACTGTGTCAGGGAAGTGTGCCATACCCAGGCATGATACTCTTGCACTCTCACTAGCCATAGAAAAGGAACTTTACGGTACAAACCTGCTTGGCCATGGTACAATAGTGCACCCTACTGTAAGGTAGTGTGTACTTGAAAAATGACTTGTTAAAGGAAACTTCCTTCTTTTTCTTTCTTGTTTTGTTGTTGAAAAAGTGACAGCGAAGTATATGGCCACATTATTCCACAAATGTTTCCACACATTCCATGAATGTAGCCTTTTCCAACATGATTTAAGATCAGCAGTTTCAAAATTCCATCAAATGTACCAGAAACAAATAATAAATTGAGATTGACTGTAAAGTTCATCAGTATTAATTCATGCTCAGATTAACATCAGTATCTGGCCTGGTTTAAATTTGACATCTGCCTCATTGTTGTTCCATTGTTGGCCCAGTTGGAGCACAGACAAGTCAGAAATCTGTGTTGTGACCTGAATGTGGCTGTTCCCAGAAGACTTTCATCTGACTTATTGAGGGAACTTTTTCGGACAAAAAATTGTTCATTGAAATTTCATCCTTGAATACATGGTAATGTCAAAAAATGCATGCAACAAAAATAGCATCGGGCTGTTTTTTTAATGAAATACTAGGATTTTATTTTACTCATCTGATTGATTTCTGGGTGTTTTTGTAAAGAACAAATCATAAATATTTTTTAATCCATGAAAGCTTTTGTCCAGGTAAACAAAGATAGTAATAGGTAATGTCATTTTTTTAAAAAGTCAGCTCAGCAGACATTAGTTTTGCACTTGAAAACTTTATTAGCATAATAACATACAGTAGACAAAAAACAAAGTTTCATAAGGTCAGCGTGAGTTCTACCACAGTCTAACTGCTGGAATGTTATGACTTCAAGCGTTTTTGTTTCTTCTTGTCGTTTTAATATATAAAAGGCACGTCACATGGCCATGTCGGCCGTGGAAGTGCCAAAGGGAAGTTGGGAAACGGACTTATGTTAAGAGAAGGTCAGAAATAAAAAGAAAGCTGCTCTTTATGGTGCGACAGCAGCAGCAGCGGTACAGGAATGTGGAGGATGCTGAGTGTCCACCTGATCTACTGCCGAACGCCCGAGGGATGGGATGGGGAGGGGGGAGGAGGAAGAGAAGGAGGAGGAAGCTCCCCAGACTCACTCCACTCCACTCCGGCTGCCATCACACGGCTCGGCTCTGCTCTGCTCAGCTCAGGAGGGGAGGCGAGAGCATCCTCAGGGAAATCCGCAGCAGACATGTTCACCACAGCAGCCGCACACGCATTTTCTTAAAGCTCAGATGATCCGCCAACTGCGTGCGTTTTTTGTTATTCTCGAAAGGAAGCCGGAGAAGAGGCGACCGACGCGCCGCATCTGTGGAGGAAAGAACCAAGGCGATAACAACATCAGGCCAGGTCATCGCTCGGTACCTCGGTAAGGATGTCTTAGAATCCTACAGCGGTTACCTCAATTATACCGACGGATTGTGGGGTTGTTTTGATCCGGGGCTCGTTTCAAACACTTCCTGCCTTTCCATGTTGTTCCATGCGTCTGTCCTTTAAATGTGTTCACGCTGCATTTTCTTTTTAGAGCAGATACAGATGTGCTACAGAAACCAACCAGTGGAGACGAGGGTGTATTAGGCCACGGAGATCAGAACCTAATTCTCATTCTGTCCACGCTGCTTTTTTTTTCTTTTCTTTCTCCAACACACCACATGAACTAGCGTATATTTGGGTTAGTGGAGCAAATCCATGCGACCCATCAGACAGCTGATTCTCAAATTCAAAATGTAATGTTTGCTTTTAAGTCAACACAGCAGTGTTTCATACAGTCTTTAAAATAATACTCACAGATACCAGCATAAAAAACTGCAGTATTCTTGCTTGTTGTCGATGTATAACACTAAGTTTAAAAAAACAAAACAGCATATGGTATACAGGCCTGTTGGCTGCACAGTAAGCTACCTTCCTGTCTCGACAGTATCTGTCATCACCAGATTTCTACTGCTCTATTTTTAAAAAAAGTTTATTTAGCTAATATGCCAAGCTAGACAACAGAACAGTGCACTTGCCTTGTGCTCTAGTTTCCTGCTCCAGTTTGCAGACTGGAGATTCCTTTTATAGGACACTCAAGTTGGTTGGTAAATGGCTGTTTGACTGTATACTTTGTGTGGCTACGTACAGACTGTCCTGGATGCTGAACTGGGATTGTCTTTAGCAGCCTTAAAAGGGATTAAATGATAGAAAGGGAATTAATGAGTTCTTACAGCATGGTAATGTGGGATTCATGGGTATCCTTTACCCACATACAGTGTGATTCTACGGAGTCTCTGATAGCAAGCTCATCAAGGGTTAGTCAATAAGTTACTTTAATCTTTTATATTCCTGAGCGACACATACACAGGAGCTGTACTGTTGTTTGAGGAACTCTGGAGTGGCAAACGAGTATGTGAGCTCGGTGCAGGACATGTTTGAGACTGTTGAGGTGTGCAGTTGAAGTGAGAGATGTGGTAGTGATTGATTTTCAGAGGACATTGTATTCTGTGTTGACAAATACTAGTAGTTAGAAAGAACAGGGAGACTTGGTAGTCTAAACTGGAGTGTAATACAGGTTAGAAGGTAATATATATTGAACAGGAGAATTAAAATAATTGTTAGTCGCAGCTGAAGTGTAGAAGAAAAGCCACAGGGACCTCAGTGCTAAGAGAGATAAGCACATTTTTCTTATGATTCCAATAATTCATAATTCAACTCTATAGTAATCATTTAAAATATAATTCTGCCATGTACTACCATATGACAGATTTTGGGGTACTCCCTTGAGGAGGCAAGAACATGAAGTGGTGCAGATTGCATTTATAAAGACTCAGATATTAAATAAACACACACGTCTAGAATAATGAACAGAGTAGACTAAGATAGCTAAAAAAATGTACTGTAACATGTAAAATCAATATTTTAATATAATCTCTTTATTATGCTAATCAAATGACATGTCTCGTTACTGTTGCTGTGGGAGAGAACATCTCTTCAAACATGAATCATGTCACTCAGTAAACCCAAGTCACATTTCCTTTCCTTTCAGTTCCATCACTGATTAAATGTCCTAATAATAGAATTATCTCATTTCCATCATGTTTGGTCTGATTATTTGAGCTACTCAGCCCACATTTTTCCCCCCACTAGGGAATACGTGGCCTATAGTTAGACACATGCTTTTGCAAACATTAATTTCCTGATGATGACATTTCAATATCCTGCATGCACATTAGTTCTGTTTCTGCTCGGTATCAGTGTTAGCCATTAATAAAGTGTAATACAAGAGCAGTCGTGGAAGTAGCAGTGTGCAAAGGAAAACATTAGTCACTGTGTCAACATGACTCCTCTGGTGTTGTTTGCTTAGGAAGTTGCCATCTGCTGAGAGAAAGCTCTGAGCTGGCCCTAATGGTGATGATGGTCATAAAAGCTAATTTAATATTCTGTGTATGGAGTATGTACAGGATACTGGGGGTGTGGAGATGGAGGATAACTCAGAAAGCAAGTCTCAAGGTCATTTTTGATATACATGTAGATGTATGTTTCACATGATTTTTTTACTTGTCACTAACTGAAAAAATAAAAAAAAATATGCCATAACTAAATTATGGAATTATTGATAAATATGTCACCAGAAATATGCAATAGTGCAATTCAAAATTTAGTCAGCAGTAGATTTACCTTCCACCCTGCACTTTGAGGATTGGCTGATCTGAAGACGAATGTTTCACTAATGTAGGCTGAGAGTTGAGATGATTTTTTTTGAGAGGATAGATAATATTTTTTTCAGACTACCTTTATATAAATCAGTTAAAGTGTTAATTTAGTTGGTACTTATTAAAACATAATTTGGTTTAAGGGGATATTTTTCGCATGAATTACAGGAATTCAAAAAATAATGTCTAACAAGCCTTTTAGTGTTTAGTGAAAACCGGTAGTTAGTTTTGCTGGAGTCAGTACAGTACAGTTGGATTTCATTCATTTCAAGAAGCAGAGAGCGAGAACCTTACACTGAAATGTCAGATTAGCATTACGCCTGATAAATGGAAGAGTTCAGTCGACCGGGCTGTCAGCACGAGTGCAGCAGCCTGTGTGAGTTATGTGGTGAAACAGTTAGAGGAGAAAGACCTCATAAACCACTTGATTGGACGACACTCTGGCTCAAGTCTCCGTTATGATAAAGCAGGGTAGGTGGAAATCACTGGTACTTATACATTCAGCTGGGCGTGTGCCAGAGATGCTCTCCACCATTTTTGGCGTGACGGCCACACATCATAATAAAAATGATCAAGTTGGTGAACTGTCACGACCCAGTTTTGATTTAAGTGAAGTAGTTTCCTCTACTCTGACTCTTTGTTCTTGTGATTGTAACTTATCCTGCACCAGAGTTCCATGGTGCCCTTGGTCAGTGTTTGTTCATGCTGTAAGAAGACACTATGTGACTGTCCATTTAATTGTCCAGAAAAATCTGCTCTGAATAACAGATCATTTTTATTGTGGCAATTTGTTTTTCTTTTGATGTGGTGTAGTTAACTAGGTCAAAATGACTATTTTGTCTATCAGTAGATAAAGACAGCGTTGCTACGTTGTTTCATATTTACTTAAAAATGCTGTAAGATTTCATAAGATAACTTTAATATTTGGAAAATCTATTACTAAAGTTGCATGAAGAAGACTTAAAAGTGCTACTCCTTTAAGCATATACTGTAGCAGTTCTTCAGCTCGTGCTGTAGAGGGTGCCTTCCTACTTGGGCTAAGGCAGTGGTTCTTCAACTTTTTATACTCTGTACCACCTGAGAAAAGATGTTTGTTTAAATGTTGTATTAATTGTGCATGGTATGTTTTAGATTAAATCAGCTGAAAATGTAAATGTAAAAATATGAATTTTCCCCACGTACCACTAGAGAGCACGTACCACGGTTTGAGAACTACTGGGCTAAGGGAAACTGCCACTGTTAGTGCTACACAAATTAAATTTCCAAACATACAAATGCAAACCAGGGTCTTTGCAAGTATGTTTATGCAAATACTGTTTACAAAACTGGTATTCATCATCCTAGGAAACGTAAGACAAAGGGACAAATGTCACCAATGTGAATTTTGTGGCTCATTCAAAATGAAGAGCTGATATTTGTTGTCGTATTCTGTACATACTTGAATACAGTGAACAGCCCAGAGCTCCACTTCTTTTGATCATACAAAATTCAAATTCAAAAAAAAAAAAAACCCAAATCACTCTAATGACATTTATTCATTCACTTTCCTGTGGAAGTTTGCTTTGCCACACTGTTGCCTGTTTGAATTAATGATTGAACCACAGAGTGCATCAGGATGACTGCGCTCCTATAAAATTTTAATGATCTGCATGTTTCCCCTCTTAGTCAATGGCAGGAGCGGCACAGAAAGGAAGTGCTTGTGCCTGCAGTAATCATGTGCCGAGGAAACATCTCCGTCTTTTTCTTTGGACCCAATGTCCGGGGCTGAGAGACGAACAACTGACAGTGTGAAAAGATAAATCTGGTTTCACTGGGAGTTTAGAACATGTTGAATACACCGTGTACGACTGCAAGCACATTAGCATTCAGCCAAGTCTTTTTACATTCATAATCATTTTTATCGTTGCCCAAATGCAGTTGAGTACTTTTTTGTATTAAAGTATTACAGTAAATATACTGTAACTACATCAGGGTTTATAATCTGAACTAAACCTAAACCCATGAGTAACAACTTGACTTTCTTTTGTATTAGAACCACAGTGGTAAGATAATACACCTGGGAATTGAGTATTGAAGTACTTCTAATGTCATCCTTGTTTTGTTTTGTTTTTTTGGTTTTTTTTTTCTGGTTTTCCCCCCGTGATTCATCTTTGATTCACTCAGTTCCCAGAGTGCATTCGTTGGACAGGTCAAAGGGCAAATTATTCCTTCTCTGTGAATATTGTATGTATCTAGCTTGACCTTTACATAACCTTTTTTCATCACCCTTTACATATACAGCTCATACAGTTTGTATGTGTATATTTTGTGTAGATATATGAATATAGAATTAAAATATTTAACAATTTAAAATCTAATCTGATAACACAGGTTAGCTGTGGATTAATTGTAATTACATTTATCTAAACATTTATCTCTATCATTCAGAGCGTTTGACTGGACTTCACTCAGAGTAAATAAACTTGTCAAATATCCAGTTTGCACGACTTATACTCGAACAATTGTGTAAAAGCGCCAGATGCACTTACCATTAATTTAATCACTGAGGACTTCTGCAAAAAAAAAAAAAAAAAGGCATATCGTAGCTGCAGAATTTCACCCTTGAAAACATTGCAGTGACGTGTGATGATGTCTTACGGCTTGACCCGTAGAATACGTGTGGCTTTCCTCATAATACAATGACTCCACTGTTGCTGGAGTCTCGGAGGTCCTTCGACTTTATGGACATGAACCACGGAGTGCAGGTTCAATCTTGATTCATAAAGGATCTTTTGACCGGCTTTTACAGTTCTCATGATAGCCCTCGTGCTTTTAATGGCCGACGTGTTTTGATCCAAGTGGCCAGGACTTTGCAATGGTTGGAAAAGTTGAGTCGTGGCCGCATGTCACCCAGGTTTAGGACACATCCAGCTGGGCCCAGTGACTAATTCTCCTCTTGTCCTCATTTTTTGTGCTCTGCTGCAGCCAAGTGTTAACAATATGGCTTTGTGCCTCACACCTGTGGGCAGTGGGACTCACAGGGAGTGGGAGTGAGTGGGCAGAAGAGCCCGTACTTTCTTTCTCAGTCTCTAACAGCGCGATAGCATAGCGTGACAGTGCTGTCTTTGTGGGGACGTTATTCCGGCACATTCATTAATAAATTAACTGCAGTTTGAAGACACTGTAAACACTGCTTTCGTGTTCGATGTGGTGGGATCGTAACGTTGATGTCGCCTGTGTTTATTATACTAAAATATGATGTGTGCAATACATGATGTCAGCAGCACATCACTTGTGTGTGTTTGTGATAAATGGAACATTTATGACTGTGCAACAGTGGCCTCAGAAACTTGCAGCGGAGCTGGTTGCAAAAGGAGATAAATAGCCTCAAACACTGGACACGTGCAGCAACTCATTTGATACGCCACGGCGCGTAGTAAAATGCTCAGACACGCGGTTCACAGATGCAAACTCCTACTCCTTCCACTGCTCAGTAAGAATGTGTTTCAAGTTATTTCCTTTTTTCTTTCCACCAGCCACAAATAGAGAGTGAAGAATATCGGCCTTTGTTCGTTCGAAAGAAAATACCATGTGAACAGGGCTCTGTGGCGGTAACGCGATTCTTTTTGCTCTGCGTTCGCAGGTTCTTGTGACTCACGGGGCCTTGATCTTGATCTGAAGCTCTGACACGCCTCACAACCGCCGCCGTCGTCCCTTCGTTTGGTGTCACTTCCAGTTCAGCTAAAAGGATGGAAATAAGAGAATGACTGAGGGTTAAAGGAACGCAATAAATCCAACCAGCCGCCTGCTATCAAGTGGATACTATGGACTGACCGGTCAACCACATCGCCCTGGCTTTAATCCACAGTGTAAGTGTCTGATAATAATCATTATACTGATCTGTTAAGCTTTAAGGCCAAAGCTGTTTATCTAAGTCACACTGTGTACTGCACTTCACTCATTTAATACTGTATGAGTAAATCACACCCATAGATCAGTTGGTTTAGCCTTTCATACTTCAAATAGTCACATGGAGCGGTGAATGACATGTACATCTACTCCATTATATATATATAAACTACTTCACGTTGTTATTATTCTAAGTAGGAAGAAGGCAGTTGAATGACTGCATGTCCACCAGTGGCTGAAGCTGTGTGACTGTTTTATTTATATAATATATACTACCAAAATATAATTTATAATTAATTTATAATTCATTTCTTGTGATAATTTATTTTGCTAAATGTCCTATTTGTTCCTTAAAATGCATTGAAATCCAGTTTTATTATTAACAAGTGACACATACTGTAGAAATTATTTGAAAAATATGATATTTAGTTACTTTTTTTGGTTACTTTTATAACATATTTCATTTATCCTGAGAATGAATTATTTTTGTAATACTGTAGCGCTAGGTTAGTCCCTTTACTGAAGAAGTAACTACTAACAAGTTATTACTTTTTTAATTTAATGTGCTCAACACTGGTAATGACCACAGCGTTAGCTGGTGTTTATGGGTAACTCTAGAAAATATGTTTATCCCCTTAATCAGCAATATATATGTAATATATTTAGTGTGGTAACACTTTTTATTAAATTGGTTTTAATAAATTTAAGGAGAAAAATATTTTATAAAACTTCTTCCAAAAAAAAGCTACCTTGCTGCAGTACCTGTATGAGCCGCCTAGGGGTCACTGTCACAACCCCCTGTTGCAGCACTTCTGATTCAAAGTCTCCAATTCACCTTATCTCTAGATTTCGATTTTGTTTCTGACTGTTGAAATAAGGAGAGAAAGACCTTGAGAAAATGAAGATGTAAACTCCAGCAGCTGCACCGACGTTCATCCGAGCAGCAAGGAGAAAAAAATATACAAATATATTTTGTATGTTCACGGTGCCAGCTTCAAAGTCTTTGAATATGATGTTTTCAAAATCCAGCATAAATATAGATCTGTGACGGCGGCGTGTCACAGGAGTCACAGCATTTGAAGATAAAGCCGTGATTTAACAGACGGTGCAGCTCCATCCCTCTCACTGCCTCTGTGCACCGAGGATGTGTTCCATCACTGCTGTTATCTCTGTACCAAGAATCTCAACATCCATCTCTTCCTGCCCCCCCACCCCGTCCCGCCCCGTATCCTCCCCTCTCATCTTCCCTCCCCTCTCCCTCCTCTCTCTGCTGCTCCACTTTAGTGACATGCGTTTGTGCTCTGCTTCTATCCCCTTTTTGCTACTTGTCAAAAAAAGTGGCAGCTCTTTTTGGTATTTTTTTTTCGCTCTGCCTCTATTTCTCCTTCCCTTTCAAACAGTCAGACGACATGAAAAACCTTGTATCTATTTGTAGGGAACACATTGTATCTGCGTGACAGAAGGAATGTGGAAAAGACTTTGAAGCTGCTGTGGTACAGAAGAACAAGATACAGAATGTGGTCACATCAGTATATATTTACTATATATATTATATATATTTATACATATATATACATATATTATATTTATAGCAATATATGTAATATATATATAAAAGGGCAGAAGGTGGTCACATCAGTATATATTTACAATATATATTATATATAACGTGGTTATAATTTCTGATTTCTGCCCTCGTCTGCTAGTTCTAATATACTGATGAGGGCGATTGATTAGGACACGGGTGGACAGTTTACATCGAGTGGGGAAAAACCCCTCTCACATTTTTCTGATTGGTGTTTCTGTTTCTGATGTCAGTTTCCGTCGAGTCTTGTTCTCAGGTTTCAGTGAAACGTCAAAGTGAAGTAGAACAGATTCATTTTCAGGGCCTGTGACTCCTGGGACTTTATAGACTCCACAGTATTTCTCATTGAGTTGTTGTTGTTCCCCCACAGAGGGTTTCACATTTCTGTAACTGTTTCGTATTTAGCACACAGTCAAGTCTTCATCATCTCTATTATTAGGCACGATGATGGCGCTGTGAAATGGGGATGATTTGCATTCTGAATTGAAACGATGCGGTCTAATCCAATTTACTGGGCCATTTATATCAGGCAGGTGCCGGAGGTTGGAGTAATCACGCCATCCTCAGCGTTGCATTAGGCAGATAGAGAGAGAGAGCAGGGACCTGGAATGAATGAGGCGGTAGCTGGTAGGCATGGCGGGCTTATATAATGTTGCTCATTCACATAAAGAGTGTATTATAAGTGACAAATAACACAGGTCGTAATAAGTCAATAAAGGTATGTAGATATTTAGAGAAAAGAACAATAAAAGACCTCTTACCTTATTGGCTGTAAAACATGACTACAGCTGGAGTTACTTCCTGATTAAATCCCTTATGCCTGAATTAATTGGGATACATAAATGGGTCATATGGGGATGTAGTGTACGGGTTGCCATTTAATTATTATTTGATGCATATTATTCACATTGCATGCGTTGGATTTGGTTTTCTTTTTGTAGTTTGGTATCACTATACATGACTCGGTTCTCTTTCTCTAGGAGCATTTTTAAAAATGCTAAAATATAACTTGTGTACCTCCTAAATTAACATTTCCAAAATTAAATTATTAAAAATAGTCTAATCTCTGTATGGAGTTTGGCTGTTCTCCCAGAGTGTGGGAGACGTGGTTAAGTTCTCACTCCTAATTAACCAAAGCTTTTAGTGTGGGTGCGACTGGTTTGTTGTCTTGAGACATTGTCATGTGACACACTGACTGCCAGGATTGGCTCCAGCTTCAACTGCACGCTTATAATGAGGAATGAATGGATGTTAGTTTTGTGATGACATCATCTGAAACTTTAGGCACGGCGGCTACTACTGCATATACTTGAAAAAAAAGAAAGGAGTAACCTCTGGAAGTAGTCTGAAGGTGAGCTTCCTCCCGTACTTGAGCAATATGATGTCATTTATTTAAGAGCTGTGTTATGAATTCCCTCTGTTGGCCAAAGCGCAGCATAGCAATCCTGCATCAGGAGATAAGGGTTACAGTTCACTTTATTTATATTTTTCTACTTTTTTTTTTACCTCTGGGAAACAGTCAATCTTGATCTGAGTATGCAGTTTTTATTTGAGATACTCTCATACCGCGGTGGGCCATTTGGTTTATTTTTTTCATTTCAGCTCTATTCTTATGTAGGTTCTCTATATTCCGGTGCTTGCTGGGAGATGACAGATATGCGGTGGCCCGCGCGTTGACCCGTGGACTCAGTGTGTTTCACAGCGTAGAGGCGGAGGAAGGGTTGGAGTGAGTGGATGTGACTTGCCTGCTGGGGGAGAGCAGGGACCAGGTGCTGACACAGTCAGCTTGTTAGCACTGCACCCAGGATTGGCTCCTCCTTCCATGTCAGCCACATATGCAATATGTAGCCTTTGGCCTCTGGACATATGTGCAGGCATGCATGGATGGATGTAGCGGGAGAAAATGTGTGTGTGTGTTAGGTGTGTGTTTGAATTGTGAAATTGAAAAAAAAAATAGACTTCAGATTGACGCAGGAATATACATTTAAATAAATAAATATTTGTCTTCTTTTTCTTGTTTTGTGATGCTAATAGTGCAGTCATAAATAATGGCGTTAATTAATTTGAGAAATGAATTTGATTAACCAGGGTTGTTGACAGGAACTCTGAGCCCCATGGAAGTATATGACAAACTGTGCAGAGTTCATTAATATTTATTAATATCATTGTATATTGTTATGATTGACATATTATGTTGATATATAATTCACTTTTATTTTTGGGCTCTTTTGAATCAGGTGTCTTTGGAATTGCCCTAACCCCTAACCCTTAAAAAAAATGCTCTGTCACATTTAGAAATGTTGCTTGATCTCAAATAATCACGACTCATTCCGATTAATCGTGGTTAATTGTTATAAATCCACAGCTACCATGTGGTAAATCTGATAGAAAACTTCACTGTAGACAGCAGTGGGCGCTAATCAGTAGCACTGAGCTTGTACGTACGTGTCGTAATTCAACCCTGTTTGCCATTTCTACTGATGTTTGACATCAACTTTGTTTCGTGCTCATTACTGTGTACTTCTATTTTCTGCAGAGGCCTTTGAAACATATAGTATATTTCCCCCCCAGGCTTATGTGGAAGATCCTCTCAAAGATCACAAAAATTAGGCCCCTAGATGACCCATTTACAGAAGAAATAAATTGACACGATGAATTATTCCTTCCAGTCTTGTGGCTTCTATAACGAGAAGGGAACTCAGGATAAAATAGGACACTCAATTCCTGCTCCTCTCCATTTATTTCACCCAGGCCCTTTATATTTCAGCGCCTTCTGCCCAATTCTTCTCTGTGATTTCTCGGGCTATCATTTATAGAACAAAGAAGAGGAGAAGGGGAATGGACGTGAATTTGGGAGAATTGGCTGCTTCGTTTCGGAGATAAGACGTGAGAATAATGTGTCGGAGTCCATTCAATTCTGGAGCTTTTAGGACGGAGTTGATCATCGCCTTGTCTTCGGAAATACACTCCCACAGTTTAGGCCCGAATAAATCACAGATAGCTTCCAGCAATGAGGTAAAGGGAAGAAGAGAGAAAATGATTTATTATAAAAATGACAGTTCAGTGCAGAGGGTGAAAGAGAGACTGTAAGAAGGGAGGGGACAAAGGGGGGAGAAACTGCAGTAAAACACACAGTCCAGCTTTTCCCATACAAAAATAGGAACAAGGGAAATATGCAGTTATGGTATTTTGTGTTTATCAGCATGTTGGCCTGTAGGTGGTGCTAAGTACACATTCACTCGTCACAGGTTGTTTGGTAACATTATAAAAATCTGATTTGGTCTAGAATTATTCAAAGATTTTTCTACACATATTAGGACATACATTTAGATGATTAGGAAATATTTGAAAATACATTTACAAACATTTACATTTACAGAAGAGCAGTTAGGAAATATTTGAAAATACATTTACATTTACAGAAGAGCATGTAGCTAACACCGGTGTCATTAGTCAAGAGGATAGAATTTAGGAAGTAATATGTCTAATGTTGACAGGGCCAAGACTTTTTGGGAAAAAAAAGAAAAAACCCTGTTATGTACCTAAATATTTAATATCCTTTTTCCTTTTTAAAAAAATTCAATTGAGTCTAAAATATATATTAAAATGATGTTAAAAATGTTATATTTCTCATTATTTGTATGTCAGGTAGGAACCTTGTGGATACACAGTGAGGACAAACATGTGAGACCCAAATGGGATTCTCTTCAATCTCTACCCTGCACATATATCACTGTATGTGGGTCACACCGTTGGACTATACATTTTTACACATCAAGCCCAATTAAACCCACCTGGGCTACGACTGTATAGACCGTCGGCCCCCCGGGCCTGAGTGCTTAGCAGTGCAAGTGTTAGACAGACCTGTCTGTCACCGTCATCACAGCGAAATTACACAGGTTCTATGGATATCACTTGAACTCCATTCCACTGAGAAATCCTCGTGTTCCTGAGGGAACGTGGTCTGCGTCACCTGGGTGTTAAAAAATCCTTTCTTCGCCCGAACACCAGGTTATTTGATACGCTGCTGTTCTTTCAAGTCGACTAGACGGGACAGGGCTGAAAAAAAAATCCCAGAAGGACTTGATTTGCCCAACAGTGAGCCAGACATCACACAACAGCCTCATCAAAGCTAAACTTGTCCTCTGTCTGCTTCGTCTGGCACGTTTCATGTTCCTTTGGTGCCCCCTAGCGGTTATTCTATTGCATTGAAAAACATTTCATGTATTACTGTGAATTCTTTTTGTTTGTTTGTTTGTTTCCTTCACAGTGACCATGGTGTTGTTTCTTGTCGGGATTTCTATTGCCGTGAACACTACTTCTCCTGGGAACCAAACTGCAGGTTAGTAGTTCACCAGCTGAGCTAATCTACTGCTCTAAAATCTCTTTCATAAATCTAAATGTTGAAGAAGCTATAGGATTTTTAAGGATGAACAACCTTAGTTGATCTAGACTCATTATGACTAAAATAATACAACAAATAAAATGAAAATGCAAACAGAAAATATTAAATTAATGAATGAATTTTGAGTCCCAGAAAGACAAAAAAACAACAAAAACTATATATATATAAATATTATATATATATAATCAATTTCGGCAGTGGGATCAATAAAGTTGAAATTACTCTCTAATATATATATATAATAAATAAAATAATTACAATATAAAGCATAGAAAACTATAAAATACAGTAAAACACTGTGGAAAAACTGTTAAATTATGGTGGTTGGTGTCTCAGCTGCCAGTTGGAATTAAACAGTATGGACACTTTTTAAATTAACAGTAAAGGACAGACATCTCTGCTGCCTGTTCTTATTGTTAATTTACAGATAGAAATGTATCACATGGTCAGACACTGTATCTTTGATCCCTTTAAAGTCATGAAAATGGCTGCTTTATTCATTTCAAATATTTGATTTGAGCTGTAGATGCTACCTACTAAATCTGACACAGTCTCTTTTTGTCTCTTTTGTCCAGAAAACCCGGCCCATAATGGAGCTCACGTTCTGCCCTCGACGCTGATCATATCCCTGCTCCTCATCATCATTGTCCTGCTGACCATCTACTGTCTGAGGTGAACGAGGGCTGCGGCCATTACACTGGACGCTCTGTATCTTTTGGTGTGTGTGTGTGTGTGTGTGTGCTTGTATCAGGGCAGAACAGGCAGTGACGGGCCGACAGCTGCACCGCGAGAAAGATAGGTCAGGTCACTCACTGACTGACCGACAGACTCAGAGGACAGCTCGAGGGGCGGCGTCACTCCTCTCAGACGGTCCATATTGGATTCGTTATTTGTTCTTTGCCTGCTCTATGTGCTGAACAGATATGTTGGCGTGATATTTTCTTTTTTCCATAACAGAGTCTGTTTTCCACTGTTTACTTTCTCCCCTTATGTCATTGCCTCAGGTTCAAAAACCACAGGAAAGCTCTAGTTACCTCCGTGGATAAAAAGATTCCCAATGGCTTCTTGGAAGAACAAGGTACTCAATATGAACCGCCAGTGCATGAAAATGTAATGCACACTTTTACTTTTCATTTATTTTTTATTTGATTTTGTAGATTTACAGTCTCTGTGGACTGGGAATGTTCTGCCATCTGGAGTACAGGGTTGGCGCGCGAGGTTTTGGAATGTTCTTAGCTTTCCCCGGGCACATAGGGAGCCATATAAACTTTCTCTTGGAGTTAAAAAAATAAATAAATAAACACAAAGGCCAAATTCTGTTTCATGCAGCAGCAGCAGCAGCAGCATGTTTATGGTCCCAGAAATTATTTCTGTACCTACAGAAGGAGAAATCCTAACGGCTGACAGGGTTGTTTTTGCAGGTGCAACGGCAGCTCGTAATGTTCTCCAGTGGGGAACATTAGCAGGCTTGACCGCTATATATCCCTTTAACCACAGGAGAGCAGACAGTGGTCCTTCTCCCCAGATCCCCCTCACCATCCAAGAGGTACTTCCCCATCCCTCTGGACTCACTGGAGGAGGAATACCGGATCCGCTCTGCAGATGACGGCAAGCTCTTCAGAGAAGAGTTCAATGTGAGTCTGTATGAATGTGGGGAAGTTGCACTCTGTACGTGTGTGTGTGTGTGTGTTGTCCGGCGACCACAGAACAAGAAAATAATCATAAAAAGTTATATTGGAAGGCTGCGCAGCCGTGGTTTTATGTTGACCTCAGGAGAATTGGCCTCTCTCGTTATAGTCGCTGCCATGTTACTACCACCATGGGTCCTTTGAGGAGGCGAGCAGAGAGCACAACAGAGAGAAAAACAGATACCCAAACATTTTACCATGTGAGTGAGCATCTATATGCTGCCATAAACAATATTAATGTAACCTTTAGACTTGCACTTTTATTAATCACTAAATCCTAACAGAAAGATGAGACGGGGCTAAAATGAAACCGATCTTTTATTTACAAGAGCTTTAAGATTTTTTTTTTTTCCTTCATCTTCAGACGATCACTCGCGGGTGGTGCTGAGTCACCTGGACGGCCATCTCTGCTCCGACTACATAAACGCCTCATACATTGATGTGAGTCATGTTGGAAAATGGTCGCTCTAATTAGGGTCTTTGTCAAGTTCCACACCTCAGTTGTCTATATTCCTGTTTGTCCAACAGGGTTATAAAGAGAAGAACAAGTTCATCGCAGCTCAAGGTAACTGCACACTGCACACTTGGCTTAGTTAAGCACATAAAAATGGTAGTCATAATTTACGGTATACGTTTTTTTTACGACCTTTTATGATTTTCTTTCAGGCCCCAAACTGGAGACGGTGGCTGACTTCTGGAGGATGATCTGGGAACAGAAAACAGCAACGATAGTGATGCTGACGAACCTTAAAGAAAGGAAGGAGGTTTGTACGAGATGTGTTCGTTCGTATGGCTCCAGTGCACCCCCCGGTGGAACCCTGTGTGTTCTCATGGAGCAATGTCACGGGCATAATTTATTTGACCTTTTTCCCAACTGCAAATCTATACGAAATGTCACCCTGCAGCTTATGTTAGCAACAGATTAAATTTGGCCTCAAAGGGATGATCAATTAAGAGCTCAATGGTGGGTTTGATGGGGCAGAATACAGGCGGCGGAGATCAATGATGGAATAATTGTTGATAAGATCCAGAGAGGCTTCGTGAAAATTAGTCTGAGAATCAGGTTAATGAGTTGAAACGTCACCGTGAAGCTGCTATTGACTGGAGGAGTCACACAAACTCCCCGCAGTTGCCTTTGAATCACACTCTGAAATATGCACGGACTAATGCAGGTTACTGCGATAGTGAATAAAGTACACGCAGTACTGACTTCTGCACAGAGGTGTGGAACTTTTTTGTTTATGGTAGGAAAGAAATGTTTTAACTTATTGTTGTGTTTCTGTCCAGGATAAATGTTACCAGTACTGGCCAGAGAAAGGCTGCTGGATGTATGGGAATGTCCGTGTGGCCATGGAGGACTTGACTGTGTTAGTGGACTACACTGTCAGAAAGTTCTGTGTTCAGCATGTAAGTAATGTTACATGTCCATCCACTTTGTCAAAGTTTGATCCTGTAGCTACTCTTCCCTAGCCTGTAGGTGGTGCTGAGCACACATTTTAAACCCCTATTTCATATTTTTTTGGTGCACTGTTTTATTGACTATAACTATCAGAACATTTACCACAGGTTTTAAGGTATAGACGGAGGCTAACTACTAAGAATTGTACACTATCAAAGACACATAGCATTAGCATGCAGCTGTTTGTTAACTGTGTGCCAGTACATATCATTTTTGTGTTTTATGAACATTTTTAAACATTAAAGAAGTCAATCCTCAGTGAGGCCAGGCTAAGCTAACCCTGCTAACAGCCTCAATTCCAATTTGTTTTTGGGCGTATTGTTGTTTTTTTACAGGTATCCCACCAATTGTAGTCTTAATGCTAATGGAACTGATTTTATTTTAATGTGGTACCATGAAAAATTCAAATGAAAGTAATAGCATTTAATTTTATATTTAAAAAAACAATTTGAATCTCTTAGAGTTTGTCAAACAAAAAGTTCTTATATTAAGTTTTAAATGTCTGTTTACATATTATTTGGATAAATGTTACTTGTTAGACCCTAATTGTGTTTGCATATCCCCAACTAGCAACTACATAACTATTAACTGTGATAGAAAAAACATTAAACTGCAATATTCATTGGTTTTGTTTATCTTTTAGCACTGTTGTTGCTGCTGTTGTTTTCTAATGTGGCCAGCTTGACTTAGTTCTCCCCGCATTAGTGTAAATGTAATTACTCTACAGCCGTACAGCAGTTAGGAAGAAACATGTATCAAATAAAATTAGTCCAAAATTAAGATCCAAGTTTATTTTTCTTTAGCCAGTTACTTGTAATGCAAGTAATAATGCGATGTTGTTGTTTTTTTTCAATATAGTTCTTACTACAGTTTTCAAGTGCCATAAACATGTGTAATGATAATAGCTACATTGTCATTAAAAATTTAATGAAAAGAAGCTTCATGGAGATTGTGCAAACAGTAATGACACCCCTGGGTAAATAAGAACATTTGAGTAAACTGTAATGGTATACAAAATAATTAATATATAAAAAAAAAATAAAAAAAAACAAGGATAAAGTGTATGTAATAAACACAGCATTAAATTGGCCATGTATTGGTTTATCTAATGCACACTAAAAAGTGCACAAATCTGCAGTGTTCCGTATCAACTCTTTAAAAGTTTACATTCACGGGCTCACTGTTTATATTTCTTTTCTAGTGAATTTTTACTGTCGAGGCGGGTGCCATATCAGAGCACTGCGCAACCTTCAGATTGAAAAAAAAAAAGTACTTTACATCAGAAAGTGGAGAAGTGCAGACATCCTCTCTGACTCGGTGGTGGCTTTGCTGTAGCACTGCAGCACATTCTGTCAGACTTGGCTGCTTGTGCATTCAGCTCCACCAAACACAGAGAGTGTTGAGGAGAACGGAGTGACTTGTTCCACAGAGATTCAAGATTCTTTTCTCACACACACTGTTATACATAGGACAAATACACAGTGAAATGAGTTTTTATTTTGTGAACAGTCGCGGGGCTTTAGAGTCAGGTGTAATCTAAAGAGTTCTGATGCTGAGCTGTGATATGATATTTTCAATGAACCTGTTTCACGTTCTGAAAATGGAATTAGAACTCAAACCTGAAGTCTGCCAAACAAAAAAATAAAGAAAATAATTTTGCATAATCATAAAGATAACTATTACTTTCGACACATGGAGCCAGTCTCAGCAGGGATTTTGAAGAATATTTATCACACATATACATACACTTGGTGAAGGTACAAAAACCAGTTTGACTTAATTTCTTTTTTTTATTATGTGAGATATATTTGTCACAATGACCATCGTCGATGAACTATGAACTATGTGCTTCACAGCAGGGCAGCGATGGTCTCCGACCTCCTCGACTGGTCACTCAGCTCCACTTCACCAGCTGGCCTGACTTCGGGGTACCGTTCTCACCCATCGGCATGCTGAAGTTCCTCAAGAAGGTCAAGGCTGTCAATCCCACCTATGCTGGACCCATTGTTATCCACTGCAGGTAACTCACCCTTGATTCATTTTGTGTGTGTGTGTGTGTATATATATATATATATATATCTGTTTTTTTTCTGGGCAATTGGTTCAAAGCTGTAAAAAAAAAACCTGCAACCATTCGTAGCGACTGCTGCAACAGGTGCTGAGGGAGGTGGTCTGTTGTTGTTGAGTGAGGCCCACTGAAGAGGCTTCAACACCCCGCTGTGGAATCCCAGCACTGTGCTCCCGGGGGTGCTGTCTGCTGGAATGACTCTTATAAATCTATTAGGAGTTTGTTTGAGTAGCAGAGGTGAAGCACTTTCACATGTGCTCAGGTCACACACAGTTGATGTGTCTGTTCAGAGTAGGGTGGCCCAAGATGGGAAGATTCCAAAGGGATTTTTTTATGATTGCAGAAATTGACCTCTGCCCTCCGTGGGGTTCGGTTCAGTTTTCTTTCTTTTTTTTTTACTGTACATTAATAATACTGATGATAAGTATATGGATTTCTCAATATATTTCTTTCGAAAATGAATATAAGCTGCGAATACACATCGGTTCAATTCATTCTAAAGTAATTCCCTGGTCAAATGCTACTTAAACATTTTAATATTATTTTAAAAATTAAACTGATTTCAAGATTTTAGCAGAGAGTTCAGGTTACAACAGCAGCGGTCCAATGGTTTCAGGCTTTTGATTAAAAGGTTGGTGGTTTGAATACCCTGACCATAGAGATAGATAGATAGATAGATAGATAGATAGATGGATAGATAAATTCATCATTGATGATAATCATTGATTGATCGATCGATTGATTATCAATCCCTTGGGAGTTCCCTTTGGGAAGTTGTGATGGACCGCATCACCATTACACAAGGAGTTCACAAAAAATCAGACCAGTCCTCAGCAACATTAATGCACTTCACTGTACATTAGTTTCATTCTGAAAACCACAACTTCTGGTCCTTCACTTTAGTCAATGACAACGTATGTTTGACAAAGTTTTTTTTTGTTCTCCACCTCCTGCAGTGCTGGGGTGGGGAGGACCGGGACGTTCATTGTCATTGACAGCATGATCGACATGATGCACATGGACCAGAGGGTGGATGTCTTCGGCTTTGTGAGCAGAATACGAGAGCAGCGCTGTCAACTCATCCAGACAGATGTAAGTGTTGACCCCTCCTGACCTGTGATGCCTCGGACTGACAGCTCAGCTCAGTGCACCGGTCATGGCACAAACAAGCAAGGACACACACACAAAAAAAAACAACCTCATCTGTGATGTGAAGGGAGGAGGAAAAAACACCGGCACATAAATATACTAGTTCTACTTCCTCCATCCTTTGACTCCCCCCCCCCTTTTTCTCCCTCTCAGATGCAGTACTCCTTCATCTACCAGGCTCTGCTGGAGTACTATCTGTATGGAGACACAGAGCTGGATGTGTGCTCTCTGGAGGGCCATCTGCAGAGGCTTCACAACACGAGGGCGCCTCACGACAGGCTGGGCCTGGAGGAGGAGTTCAGGGTACGAAAAAAGAAGTTCACTCTCAAACATTACAGTCATAAATGAATCGTCTCCTTCGGCCTGCGCCGATACATTTTCTCCGGAATCCTGCTCCATGCTGCTGCTGCCGTGCTGCTCTCGGGCAGTGGTAATATAAATAACAATGCTTCGTATCAACTCCATTTTTATATGGCACATACAACTGATTGTAGCTCGGTTGATCTATTTCCCTGCTTGGGTTCCAATAAACTTTTTTTTCCCTGGTCTTTCCCGCGTCAGAAGCTGACCAACGTTCGCATAATGAAGGAGAACATGAGGACCGGAAACCTCCCGGCCAACATGAAGAAGAACCGCGTGCTTCAAATAATCCCATGTAAGGATCACTTTGAAACGCCTGCTACTTCCATAATACATCACATCCCGTCCACGTAACATCAAAGGATCACACCGCCTGTGATTCCACACATGTCGTACACAGAGATTCATGTGATCGGCCACGTGTCTGTGCAATCAACGACATTTGAACCACGTTCATATTTTCCGCGGGAGGCTTTTGAATTTTGATTTTTGAATTTTAGGAATCGCTGCTGGAAAGTTTCTTTTTTTTCCCCTCTTTTTGCAGATGATTTCAACAGAGTAATACTCTCCGTGAAAAGAGGACAGGAGTTCACCGACTACATTAATGCCTCTTTTATTGATGTAAGCATTCCCCCCTGACCTCCCCTATGGATTTCCCATAGAAGTATATATATATATTTATATATATTTATATAAAGCTCATTGTTTCCTTCACAAACAATGCAAAATATCATGTTTGCTGCACTCTCAAGTGTTGTTTACTGCATGATCTGCCCTCCAGGGCTACAGGCAGAAGGACTATTTTATCGCAACCCAGGGCCCGCTGTCTCACACAGTGGAGGACTTCTGGAGGATGGTGTGGGAGTGGAGGTGCCATTCAATCGTTATGCTCACCGAGCTCAAAGAGAGGGAGCAGGTACAGTATGGTGTTCTTGCAAAAGTGCATTTAAAAACAGTCCTTTTTTCCCCTCCCCTTTCCCTCCTGTTGTGTTGTTGCTAATAGCACAAACAGGAGCATACACTTTTCTGCCTCGCTAGGAAAAGTGCTTCCAGTATTGGCCATCAGAGGGCAGTACAACATTTGGAGATTATACTGTGGAGTTGACTGGAGATTCACAGTGTGAAACCTTCACCCTCAAAGACATGGTGCTCTCCTACAAATCAGTGCGTGTGTTTTTTTCTTTTCTTCCCCCCAACATACTAAAAAAAGCATTTATTCAAAATGATTATATTTCTTGGTGAGCTTTAAATATCTGTGCATTTTACCGCGCCGCCCTATGTGTCCAGGAAAAGCAGTCGCAACACGTCCGGCACTTCCACTTCCACGGATGGCCTGAAATTGGAATACCAGCTGAGGGAAGAGGAATGATTGACATTATTGCCGCTGTGCAGAGGCAGCAGCAGCAGTCGGGAAACCGCCCCATAATTGTGCACTGCAGGTGAGGCCCTTCACTTTGACACTTCTGCAGATGGACTTCATATACAGCGCGTTACCTTATGGATCCGTCCACTCAGCCACTTTCATTCCCTGTGCACTTATATTTCTCATCGCTATATCAGAAAAGAAATTTGAATTTTATGGATGCATCTCTCTCTCTCTCTCTAGCTCTCTCTCTATCTCTCTCTCTCCCCGACAAATGCCTGTTACAATAAATTGTAGATGTGCCTCAGTAGACCTGGTGCTCGCTGCCTAAACCATTTTTGTGATCCCTTATAAAGACTTAGCTGTGAAAGCTTTGATCAGAACCTAGCTCCAGGTGAAGTGATTCTAAAGCAGCACGCCCCGGTGGGATTGATTCAATCCACTGATTCACAGTCAATTAAAACCTCTCAAAGTGAAATCTCCTCTGACTCCCACTATGATTAATCTGATAAGATGAGCTAACGACAGGAAATGGTGTCATCACTCTCTCCTATTCCTTCATCACCACTTGTCTAAGAGGGGCTTTTTAAAGCTCTTTCTCCCCCCCTCCCCCCCTGCCCCCCGGGAGCGGGGCTAACCCGATGCAATCCCCGACGTCTCCGCGCACTTCTCTTCCAAATCACACTTGGCTCTCACTCCCTGTCTCTACACGCCTTCGCCCTCTTGTCTATCCCACCTTCATTGTAAACATTGACTCAGTCAAACACCGAGCTTCTAAACTGATTAGCGTTAGCGCTTGGATTAGCTTTTCCTTAAGTGTGGGGGGGGATGATTATTAGCTCTGTTAACAAAAGGTCACCTCTTCCCCACGCAAACTTTTTCAATTAGGCTGAAACGTGGGACGTGCTGCTCAGATCGCGACGTCCGCGTCAGACGTTGCTGTTCCAAGGTGTTGTTTTAATCAGTCCGTGACGTTTTTTTGGCGATAGTGACTGAATGTGTGTCGTGTTCAGTGCTGGCGCAGGTCGGACGGGAACGTTCATCGCTCTGAGCAATATACTGGAAAGAGTGAAAGCCGAGGGCCTTCTGGACGTTTTTCAGACGGTCAAGAGTTTACGCATGCAGAGACCACATATGGTTCAGACCGTGGTAGGTGCAACACCAGTTAATATCATCCCCGCTGTGCTGGAAATGTCCACGTACAGCGTTCCCTGTTTGTTCTGCTCATGACTCCGTCGGCACAGGGAGGCACACTAACACCTTTTTTTTTTTCCCGCTTGTTTTCTTTCCAGGAGCAGTACGACTTCTGCTACAGGGTGGTTCAAGATTTCGTTGACATTTTCTCCGACTACGCCAATTTTAAATAACACCCAATATATATATAATAATAACTCCTTATGGGTTAGTTCATTTGATTAGATTTTTTCTTCAGAATGTTGTTTTATAACGCTAGCCTCTTTGTACATTTTGCACAGATCTAAAAAACAACAACAACAAAAAACGAGCTTTGTAACATCATGTATTATAATTGGAAATGAAACTCTGAGTCTCTTACTTGAATGTTTGACTTTCTAATATAAAACTGTAAAATAAAATGAGCCGATATATTTTGTGTTGGCAACACAGGTGAGTGTAAATGTGAGAGGAAATATTTGGTAGACTTTTTTTGGTGTCACTGCTCTCTTCTCCTATCGACCTAATTGCCTTTAGTTTTAATTACCGCACGCTTCGTTAACCTACGTCATCGTTATCAGAGTGATACATTTCAGCGTTTAGTCACTGGGTTTCAATAGATTTATGCTTTGACAGCGGAGCCTCTCCTTTAAGCCTGTTTATATAGCAGTTGTGTTTTACCTTCAGTCTAATGTGTTCCGTTCGATCTCCTCACTTTTGTGAATGAATAATTCAACAGCTGCTCCTCCCTGCTGCAAGTTAATACAACTTCACTCTGTCTTTTTTTTTATCATAATAGTCTGCAAAATACAGGCAGATTAAAAAAAAGTATAAAATCTTTAATACCTGCAGTTAGAAGCATATCTACAGTGGAGCAGTGCCATAGTGATTAGAAAACTCTTCTGATCCAGACGTTATTGTCACCGAGTGACACGTGTTTATTAGGGACATGTTGTGTTTTGTTTAGATATTATTAAGGGATCCATGTTTAAAGGGCACACTGTTTCCACCTGTGGTTTCTGGCCGTGTCCTTGTTTGGAACAACAGCTCCAAACAACTTCTCCTCGTACAACAAACGTGCGATGACTTCGGTTTGTAATTAAGTTGGAAATCAGGGTTTAAATGAAACAATTAATCACTGCTGAACTCCGCTCGTCTCCGATTACTGAGATGGAAAAAAAAAAAAAAAAAAATTCTGGGACAGTGAAAGTTATTCAGAACACAGGAATCGATGCTGAGCCATAATTACAAAATATGCACGCAGGTATTTGGACACTATGACTATTTGGCCGGAGTCGTTTCATATGTAGAGGAGGAAGGAATAGTTATACATACATGATCATTTTATGTTCAATCTCTGTACATACGTTGGGGTGGATGACGTAGCCGAGGTTGACCGTTACGTCGACTCATTTTTATCGCTTTTATCGCTCTGCTGAAAGGGAAAAGGTTTGTGACGACGAGGCCTTGCAGCAGATGTAGAAATGTGCGAGCGTCAGGTTTCAACGGTGCTTCCGCCTTCTGACTCAGTACATTTAAACAGTTGTTCCTTTGCTTAAAGCTGATACCAATAAATTATACATGAAGAAGAAACGCCTGGTGTCTTTCTGTGTGTCTTTCTTTGTCGCACGTGCGGGTGTCGTGCTCGCAACTTTGTTCGGAACTTTGTGAAAGAATCAATACTTGGTCAATTAACAGCATCATATTTGTAAAAAAATATCTTTTAAATTGAAGTTTTAAAATATACTGCAAACATTTAAGACCAAAACAATCCAGAGGAGTTGAAGTGTTAAACCAAAAGCTGTCACTGTGGACATATACACAGAGGATTGGGACTAATTTAAAAAAGAAAAAAAGAAGCTGAGATGAATCTACAGCTTTGATTTCTCTGGGCCCAGATAAACACAGATGGAAGAATTCTATAAGCAGATCTTACTTTTGATTGTTTTATTATTATTATTATTATTATTATTATGGAACAAACAAACAGAATAACTCTCTAAAACCAAGAGAAAAGTCCACCCAGACTTTTGTCACATGTAACGTCAGTAACTGTGATGCTTTGGTGGAACACTTAGAGCTGTAGTCCTGATCCAGCCCTCCCTCATGGGGATGGGAATACGGATAACCAGGTATCCACTTAATGGGGTCTCCCGTGACCCCTTCAGGTACCAGTGATGACGCAGCTACTGTCAACAATTTTTTAATAGACATGTTCTTGTTGAGACATTTCCTTAAAATGGTTCATGTATTTTCAGTGTCAGAGTTTAACAAAAAGTGTTGTGTTTTCAAGGACAGAGATTGTGAATTTACCTGACCTGGTAGGTGGTCCAGGGGTCTTTTTTTGAGGAGAATTTGTGATATAAAATGATTTAATAATAATATTTAAATATTATTATTAAATATTTAAATAAAAACGACTGATTAGAAAACTAGTTATCCAAAGTGACCAGTGCTTGTTGTGCTGCTGAGTGAGAATAAAACCAAAATGATGAAATCATGCTGTTCATGCTCAGCAAATCCACAGTATATTTTTTTATTTATTTATTTTTTGTTACCTAATGCCTAATCCGTTTGTTGATGTCAGCATGTGGTATGTGAGCACTTAACAGCTCCATTAGTGCTGTGTTGTGTCCCGTTGGTCAGTGGATGTGTCACACCTGTATAATGGGGATTATAATCCTGACAGCTGCCTTCTGTGGCAGCTATAAAACCTCTGTCTGGCTAATGCACCACATGTTAAGACGGCAAACACAGAGGTGAGTGAGGCTGCGGCTCAGTGTTGATGACTGTATGGATTGTGAGTATAACATCTGTCACTTCAGTCTTGGGTTTTTTTTTAATATTAATTAGAAGTGTCTTTTCCTGTGCAGCTGTGATGGAAACAGGCAGCAGAGTGATCGTGCAGGTGCTGCTGCTGGCCTTGGTGCTTCAGCTCACACTGTCCCAGCACTGGTCTTATGGATGGCTACCAGGTGGAAAGAGAAGTGTAGGCGAGCTGGAAGCAACGATCAGGGTGAGAGTGATCGGATTTTGTGTGTGTTTGTTTTAATGTCTTTCATGGTTAAAAAAATAAATAAATCTTGTATTGACTAAAGATGATGGGCACTGGAGAAGTGTTGTCTCGTCCTGAGGAGGCGAGTGCCCAAACCCCAGAGAGGCTCGGACCATACAATGTTGTAAGTGCTTATTATACATAATTTATTACCAATGTCTACTTCAATTGTACAATATTAATGTACACTACACCACTGTGTGCCAGTGGGCTCCAAAGCAGCAATGACAATATACAAACTGCTCAATGACTGTTTTTATTTTTCCCCATTTTGCATGATTGAATGTGTGCATGGCTAATTTTGTCTCGTCTCGTATGTGTAGCTAAGGAGCCGGGACATGTTAGAAATCCTATCTCTAAATGAACATTTAAATATTTGCTGGATTAAATATTTAACAAGCGGCCATAACTGTTAACTTAATTCCCTCAGATTGATGGCGACTCCAGATATTTCGACCGCAAGAAAAGGTTCCTGAACAATTACTGAGGACGCCAAAAAAAAAAAAGCACGAAACTGTCGGTTGTGTTCTAATCGTCCACGACGGGGACGGACGAGTCAACTTCGACAACAACACAAATCACTGTAACATTTGTTTACGTTTATTATTATAAATGTGATTTTTTTTCTTTTTTTTTTTTTAATCATATAAAATGGTTTTAATGACCGTGAATGGATTGACGTGTCTTTGTGGAGAAGCCCCGACCGACAAGCATGACAAACTAGTGACACAACAATCTTAGCATGACAACAGCTGGTGATTAAGCCAATTTATTAGAAATCAATGACTTAATTGAATTTGTTACACTTTCGGTAATTCCATTTTCTGCCTCTCTGGTCACGTGTACATATGAGACGGGGAAAAAAAAGTGACATCAGTTTAATACAGTGCTGAAACCTGAAGGTTGATCAACCCTGGAAAACGACCGACTCTCTTTAGACCTGGGATGTTGTTTGTGTGTGTGTCCTCTCCTCTCCCTCTGATTTAAGCGGCAAGGCGATCACAAAACATCCAAAGTGCACAACTTTCCCCTTTCCTCTCTGCAATGGGAACCTGTGTTCATTATAAAAATTGAATTGGAATTTCATATCAGGAAAGCGTAAAAAATCGGCAGGGGGCATATGTTTTAAAGAGAACTCATTTTCCCGCAAAGCCCCACAGACGGAGCACCATACTAATCGCTTGGTGCATAAGGGGCCGGGATTCATGAACTCTGCTGACACCAGGGAGGCCCTGCATTGTTAGAGCACGGTTGTAATGCACACCAATGAACCCAAACCCACTGGCACAACTGGGGAACGGCGAACATTATAAAGTACATAGAATTAAAGAGAAATTAAACCCCATTCCATTGCAGCCTCGGAACAATGCTCGTTCATTTGTGAAACTTCACGTCGTCGGTTTAATATTCAGGCTTGTTCATTTGCATGAAACAATCGCTCCCTTTGATGGGGGGGAAAGACTTTAGAATTCTCGCAGAACCCTGTTATGTTCCTCAATGACAAAGTTTGTGCAAAACACGCAAGTCCGGTGTGATTTCACGTGGAAACTTGCTAATGAGACTTCCTCGAATTTATTTGACTTTGTCCATGTCTTTATGGAGTTTTCGATAATTTTCTAACATGCTCATAAAAGATAATTATGCGTCGAGAACACTTTCTAAATTATGGTTTTAATTCAATTTGGTTTAGTTGTGTGAGAGTAATTAATGTTTACAGATAAACCATAAAGTCTCATAAATTCCCTTTAAATAATCCCAGTGCATTTGCCGTGAAAGCCAACGTTCTCCCTCCCAGTGTCCTCATCAAGGACCTGCCTAATTGCACGTATATCAGGACAACAAAACCTGCTGGTATCTATGTTTCCAAATTTGATTTAACCTCACTTTCTCCTTCCCAGACCCTCTGGTGAATATTCACTTTGTTTACCTCAAATTAAACTTCATATTGTTTACAGCCTCCCGGTCCCTGAACATTTTATAGCATTTTAGAATTATTTCTTTATTTATTTTTTGTAATGATTGTAGGGTTGGGATTCATTTGAATGTTTCCCTCATCTGCATGAAAATTATATAATTAACTTTTGATTAACCAGCTCAGTTGAGTCGGTTCCCCCCTGAACACTGGTGAATAGTACCCACCGCATTTTAATGACTGTTTTCCAATTGAGTGGCGACCTTTTCATCAAAGAGCCACAACTGGGGCTAAACAACAGTGGAAAATAATCACGGTGAAGACAATGGCAGAGGCCGACAGGCTAGGATGTCATCCTTAAGTATAACAAACCACGATGAAAGCAGCCTTACTGCGGTGGTGAGAAGCCAAATGCTTATGTTGCTGCGTGTCCCATTGTTGAATCTGTGGAGGTCACGTCCATTGTCGTACACACAGGGAAAGGACAGGAAGGTGGGACGGCCCATTGTTACATGTCCTTGCTCCGAGGGAATTCCATTATGAAGGGCAATACATTTTTTGATACTTTGATTATTGTGCTGTTCATTTGTATTTAAAAAAAAAAACAGCAAAAAACAGAACATATTTGGGTGGTGACTTCAAGAAAAAAAGGTCGTATTACCACACCTGCCAATCAAACACCTCTATCCTAGTGTCAAATAAGCATACTATCATATGCATAATATAAATTTCATTTCATCACAATTATGCTCCGCTCACTATGTTTCCAGTGGGTCATAGGACACTTTTATTGAAGCAGAGTGTATAATAAAATCATTTTCCAGGTGCTTGTTGTGGCTCCTATTATGAACAGAATGATAATTTCCCCTGGAGGAATCTGGCCCTGCATATCAATTGAAGTTTAGTGTGGGTCTTACTATGTTCCCGCAGGCTATAGTAGAAGGCAAAGTCATCTTCAGAGAGAGTCTAAATGTCAGGGAGGTCTTAAAACAGTTTTTGAGAGCCTTGGTAAAAAGGTGTCTTTGGATTTGCTGTCTTAGAATTGATACAGTGAAAGTGGGTTTTAAAAAAAAGTCCATAACGTTGATAGTTAAAATAAATATATTTCTTAAGCTAAGAAACGTGTAGTCTGAGAGGGGTGACCAACATAACTGAACATAAAGCACTTCTCATTTACTGATATGTCGTATCAACGGGTCTCCACATGGTGACACTCTTGAGCTGCTGTTCTGACTAATGGCAGCCGGTCTTCCCGCAATTCCATCAGTGAAGTTGGAGAAATTGTTATTCTTTTAATTCCACCGAAGTCTTCTATCGTCATCTCCAACTCTGTGACAAAGATTCATTTTAATATTCTCCATGATGACTGAAGGAGTTCGTCTTTGGTACGCAAAAGTATTTTGTTCACTTTTTCTCCGTCGGGCTACATGTGGTGCCTGAGTAAAAAAAAAAAAACATGAAAAAAGCCCTGTAGAAATTTTCAAATATTTCTCATGAATCATTTTATTATAATCTCAAATTATTTAATTATCTATTTCTTTCTTTTTTTGAGTGAAGTTTAAACTAAAGTGTAGCATGTACAGTATGGCAGTGAATTGGCCTTCTATCTCCTCCTTGGCTGGCAGGGAACCTTCCTGTTGTGATCCGACTTTTCTGCTTTGATCAAAGAACAGTGTTAAAGCACTGGGAGAAGAAGGAGGTATGAAATATGAATGAATACAGCTGTGTTTTGATGGATATGTCTCAAAGTATCCCAGTAAGAGACTGCTAAAGGCCAGGAAATCTGTTTGTGTTGTGGAAATAGGCTCTTCCTCACTCCTTTCTTTACCAGCTTCAGCCTGCGTAGCTTTTCACTTTATATTTTAGAGATCCTTTGTTAGGGAAGAGATTGACTCCGCATCTGTGCGTTCATAGGAAACTGTTCTAAGAAGTCCTAGTTCATAATATACATCATTAATACTACGCTTTCCTTTTGTTTGGTCTTGAAGCCACCTTTTCAACTGAATAAGCAGCAGCTATGAGAGGAAGATATGTATTATTTTTCTAGGCTAGACCAGAGTTCTCACAGATGGAGTGAGATCTTATATGAGGCAATAGAGGTTTTGTCAATAGTTATGTCTGTGATTCCATTTCCTCTGCTAAAACCCCACCAGGGAACTGTGACTCATTTTGAAGTTGGAAGTTGATACTGTGGTGTAAAACTAATGTTCCCAACTGAATTAAGAAACTATCATAGCTCACACAAATCTCAGATTTTCAGAGTTAGATGAACTCATCTCTCACATTACACTTCTTTAATAAACAAAGATAATAAAAAAGATGAGCTCGTAAAAACCCAATCATTAAGGGAGATTGTAAAATCAAAATTGGTGCCTATAGATGTGTCTTTTATACACCGCGTTGCAGCACTGTCTTATTAGCATCCATTTAAAGACTTCCTCTAGCAATTTAGGGCTATATTAAGTAAGATACAGCCAGGACCTGTGTCTCTGGTCGGTTGGAGGTTTAAAACTTTCTGCCTGTGTTTTTATTAAGCTCATTAATAGCTGAGTCCCCTAAATGCCAGGGTCCACCTCTGTTGGGAGCACGGGCTCAGATCCTGTCAGACAGGGGTCGCACCGACCAACTGTAATTTTTTTTTGAGAACTCCACTCCCACTGACCTACATCTAACACAAGTTTCATCCCTTCTGCTTACCCCCCCAA